ACGGTTAAGTTACGTTAGTTAGTAAGTAAGTAACTAGTACGTCGTCGGTACGTACGACGTACGACGACGTCGTCGTCGTCGTCGTCGGTGTGTGTGTGTGTGTGTGTGTGTGTGTGTGTGTGTGTGTGTGTGTGTGTGTGTGTGTGTGTGTGTGTGTATGTGTGTGTGTGTGTGTGTGTGTGTGTGCGTGCGTGTATGTGAAAACATGCCATGTCTGATGTGTAGGCCCCCCTACGCGCCCCTCTGTGCGTGCGCGTGCGTTTTTTCACGCGCGTTCGGCAGACCTTGGCCTGTTCTCACCGCGACAACACAAAACATAGCCTGCCGTGTCGTCGCCCCGCCCCGCAGCAGCAGCCGAAAGTAACGAGCTAACCGCAAAACACGAGCGCAAAACAAAAAAAACACGTGACGCGAGAGAAGCCCTCGTGGGAAAAACGCGCTGTTGCCTTGGGTCGCTGGCTAGTTTACGTTTTAACTAGAGAGTTCTTTTGCTCTTCACACGTCACAAGAAACGTGATTAAAGAAGCACTGTTTTGCTCCGCACGAAGATGACGATGATGATGGCATAATGATGTTGGCAAGTACGTGTAATGGCACCGGTGGTCAGACAGGCAGTAGATACTGAGAGAAGAGCGGTACTATAGTCTTAATTTGTACCCGTATTTATTATTTTTGTAAACAAACTGCTATTTCATAGCAGCAAGACGATGTTTTTTAAGTTATAATACGTAGCATATATATATATATATATCATACATAGTATACCTATGCCGTATATATGCATGATATAAGTGAATGGACTAGAACGGAGGAAGCTGGTGTAATTATCGTTTTACAAATCACCCTCTCTAAGCTCGGCGCGACTGGCAAAGATTATATGCGCGCACGGAAAATACTACTCGGCCCTGAATACTAGTCGGCAGTCAAGAATAGCGCATGAATGGGTGCAGGTGCAGCAAGCAGACGATATCTCTCCACCGCTTCCGTATCGTGAAGTCACACGCGGGCGCGGTTAACGACGGTGTGTTTTCCGCGCGCGAAACGAGAGAAGCCCGCCGTATTGAGGCACGTGGTTGTGAGGCGCGCGGATCCGTGGCCCCGCACCGCGTTAAATGAACCCCGCGGCGTACGTGAGTGGTGCTGCCACGGTCGGGGGAGGAAGGCCACTCGGAAAATGATAAACATCGGTCAGACCTCGAAGCCGCTGGTCAAGACGATGTCCGCGTGTGGCACTCAGCTCGCTGGGAGAGAGGCAGAGGGTCGGGTCTGATTGAGCAAACACGAGCCAGCAGCTGCGAACAGCTTTCTAGGCTATTAGGCCACGGTAGCTTATCCCTGCGCAGAGTGGCGCGCGACCTGTTGCACACTGACTGACCATATATAGCGCCACCGGCTGTCAGCACACTGACAGCATATAGACGCATATATATACATACATACATACACACACACACACATACACACACACACACACACACACACACACACACACACACACACACACACACACACACACACACACACACACACACACAACTAACTAGTAGTGTGTGTGTGTGTGTGTCGTCGTGTGTCGTGTGCGTGTGTCGTGTGTCGTCGTGTCGTCGTGGTCGGTCGTCGGTCGGTGGTGGTCGTGTACGGTGTCGGTCG